GGGGGGGGCTTCGCCCCCTGGACCCCTTTACTCGTGGGGGGCTTCGCCCCCCGCCCCCCCCCCCCTCCGCCCCCAGACTTCATCACGCACTTAACATATAAAATAATATACGCAACACGTGCGGACAGCAGGCGGCCTGCTTTCCGCACTATTTGCCTAATGTACTATTGTTATAAAATGACGATATAATTCAGTTTCCTCAGAAATTTCCAGGGAGGCCATATAATGACACATTACCCACTATACTATCGAACACTTATTGCAAATGTCACACCGCTATGACGCTACTGATGCTACAACTGGCTCGGCATTCGATTCGTCCGTTCATCTTCAATTAAATTCTACCGATGTCCATCGTCCCTCTATGTACGTAATGAATCCAGCTGAGTTTCCATATTCAATTCCACGTCATTCGCGTCCCGTGCATTTAATATTTCATAGCAATTGTACAAAGCGAATTTCACCCTTTATTAAAGGTTCAGGCGTCTAATTGCCGTTACCGAGTAGCGGAGTCTTTACGTCTCAACGCTGAATACGAAATGACACTTAAAGAATCATCTGAAAGAATATACAATTGAGTAGGTACGCGCCACTCTGTCGAGACACATTTGACGATTTCTGACAGTGGGTGTCACTTTGAAAAGTTAATGGAAAACATCCTTGACTCCCCGTACTATCGACTCACCAAACGAGGGTTGCAATGTATTGGCCATTGGCCTTTTCAGTCTACAAGAGAGAAGAGAAGCTTGAGGTGCTTGACTTTCATTATAACCATCAGCTTATTAATACCTAAGGTACAAATTCAATCCTTTAAGGATTATACAGTCACAATTCTCTGAGATAAACTGGCTAATTTATTGTTTCATTACGTTCAGATTATCAAATGCATAGAATCCTTGGATGATGTTGACATTACAATTGAATGCATACCCATTATCAGCTGTTATATATTAGCTCTGATAAAATTTTTCAATTGGATAATTATGGAAGATCATGTAATTACAAGAGATGTGTGAATATTCGAAATTTTGAATAATTCGAAGCGAATAGAATTAGCATTATTCGATTCGAAAAACTAATTGAATAATTCAGAATTCCGAATTATTAGAAATATTCGGATTATTCAAAATAGTTGAATTATTTGAGAAAATGGAGTTATTTGAAAAAAATCAGAACAATTCGAATTTTTTGACAATAAGAAATAAAGGCCGTCCGCACTAAGCTTCGAGTTTGTCAGCTAATAGGCAGTTCACTCATGAGGTTTACGCAAGAACAAATTTGACACTACCATTTAAATAGCTATTCTCGGTGAGAGACAAACTGGATAGGAATATCCAAGTACTTCGTTTATCATATAAATGATTGAAACATTTGGAATAATTTCCATTTGAAAGAATTCGAATCGTTCAATGTATTTGAACATTTGGAATAATTTGAGTCATTCAAATAATTCGAATTTCGAATTGGATTTTACCATTCAATTCGATTCGATTCATTCACTATTCGCACATCCCTAGTCATTACGGTTCACAGAGTGACGCTGGTACCATAGTTACAAATTAAGTGACGGAGATCCCGCTGAGAGCTGATCATAGCAGTGTTTTATATAATTTAGATAATCAAATTGGATCGAAATGACTCCTACGATGATGAGTGGATATTGTACTGAAAGTTCTATTCAATTCAATATAACTCTTAGATTAAATTACAAACCCCGTTTACAGCTCACCCCCCCCCCCCCCCCC